CAGGTAGTATGGCTCATATCTTGCTTATCTTCTATTCCACTCTTCTACTATTAGGTAGTCCTTTGAACAACTGAACTTCCTTGCTATTGCTACAGCCATATGTAGTTGTAAGAGTAAAACTTGAACTACTTCTCAGATCACTATAAAGACAGGGAGAACAACCTTTCTATGGCTTGCTGTAGTGACCTTTTGCAGTGTGTAAGTCCCAGTCTGAAAACTTGTTGAAGTAAGGCTAACAAGGGCAGAATTATTCAGTTTGGATAGTATTTGAAATACCTTCTTTTTGTTTAAGTTTTACTATAGGAAACTTGGTAACACAAAAGATAAAATATCTTTGTTATGTGACTTGGCTTAAAAAATAGGTTCTTGCTTTTAGTGTGTTAAAAATGCAAAGGTGATGCGTTTTTAGTCTTTGCTGTGATTGTTTTTTTTTTTTGATATTAGAATTATTTTTGTGGCATGGCGTAGCTGTTAACGGATCTACTGTGTGTCTACTGTATAAGCATTTTTACCAGTGATTTTTTTCCTGTGATTTCATGTTAGTGTCTCTGTTAAATTATAACTTAGATATTCTTTTTATTGCTCTGAGCAATTTCAATGTTATCATTGCATTTTTTCATGCAGCTCACAAAGTCTCATCGTCAGGGTCACATGGTGAAAGTGGACTGGCTGGACAGACTGACGTTTAGAGAAATAGAGATGATCAATGAGGTAGGTCGTCATACATGAGACTTGTAATTTTTTTTGATCATGCTAATATGGAACCTTTGCTTACTTAAGAGACTAACTCTAAGCACTTGTCCTATTTTTCTTCAACTGCCAGTTTATATGATGAAAGGAAAAATAATTCTTTTAAGCTTCCAAAGTTGATTTTACTTCGGTAATAATGACAAGCAGAGAATCATGGAATGGTTTGGGTTGGAAGGGACCTTAAAGGCCATGTAGTCTACCCCCCCTGCAATGAGCAAGAACATCTTCAGCCAGATCAGGCTGCTCAGAGTCCCATCCAACCTAGTGTTGAATGTTTCCAGGGGTGGGACATCTACACCTCTCTGAGCAACCTGTGCCAGTGTTTCATCACCCTCATCGTAAAAAAAATTCTTCCTTATATCCAAACTGAATCTCCTCTCTTGCAGTCTAAAGCCATGACCCCTTCTCCTGTTGCAACAGGCCCTGCTAAAAAGCCTGTCTGTCTTCTAAGCCCCTTTTAAGTACTCAGCGGCCCCAGTAAGATCTCCTCGGAGCCTTCCCTTCTCCAGGCTGAATAGCCCCAGCTCTCTCAGCATTTTCTTACAGCAGAGGTGTTCCATCCCACTGATCAGTTTTGTGGGGCAGAATCACCCCCTCAACCTGCTGGCCTTACTTCTTTTAATGCAGCAAAGAATGTGGTTGACTTTCTGGACTGCAAGCACACATTGTCAGCTCATGTCCAGTTCTTCATCTACCAGGATAGACAGCAGTCTTACAAGGTTTCATCCTGAAGGAATTTGATCATGGAAAACAAAGTTTATTAAGAATTTGAAGTAGCTTGGAGCAAACGCTGTTAGGTATGACTAACTTAACTTTAGTATTTAGATTATGATGGGAAACTTTTTGGACATATACTCTGTTCCTTCGTTTTAGAGCTGATCAGCTTTGTTGGTTTTGATTTTGGGTGCTGAGGAAAAACTCTTGTAAGATTTGAAAGGATATTTAAAGAAAAAAAAAATGCTTGAATGAGGTGTTAATGCTTACTAAGCAAAATCACCTCCAGACTGTTAACTGATTATACTTACCTTGCACAACAGAACTCTGTTTTCTGCTTTGTGCTCTGAGATTTTTGTTGTCTTATGTATAATTATGTACCTCTGGGAATCAAATTATTTTTGAACTTAAATTTTGTGTTTTTATAAACCCATATATATATTTTTCAAAATTCAGCCTATCCTTCATTTTGTTGTTTTGTGTGTGGCTTTTCTTTCTCTTTCTGTAAAAATACAGGAAACTAAAAATTCCTGATTTATGGAGCTGTGCCTGAAAAGCAGAACCACTTTACCTGTACTGGAAAGTCAGTCCATTATTAGTGCATGATATGAACTTGAGTTGCTCATTAATAAAGGGGATGCTAATGTGTTTTTATTAAATGTATGTTCCTGGTGGTGGTTATGTATAACTTCTTTCTTGTTTCCCACCTGGATTTTAAAATTCAAAGCACTTTTCTAGGTAAAGTGTTTCAAAAATGCATGTGTGAGCAAATCTTCCTCTGACAGTCAACAGGCTACAAATCCAATCTTGTAGTCCAAGTGTAATTTGTCTTTTTCATTGTGTTACTAAAGTGATTTTTTTGTCTGATTTTTTTTTTTCAAATCATTATACACAATTATGCATGTCAGTCAACAAAAAACAAACCAATAAAACCCCAAAACACAAAACCCCAGCTGTGTCATCTGGTTATCCTTCATTGTCTTTTTTCAGACCTCTAGCCCACAGTCACAAGCTTGATGAAAACAATTCAATTTTATCTGTTACATGTGGATGTTTATCATGAAGTGGGAACGTGAGGAAGTAAGAATGTCAGAAAGAAGGTGGTATGGTCTGAAGTAGTGCTATGAAATGATTAATTGAATAATTGCTATAACAACTGATAATCTAATTACGCAGTTACAGCACAAAGGAAGTAGGGTAATTGCTGTACTGAGAATGCTGAAGAATGATGCACTTCAGTGTCAGATAAACATCTGTGGTGGTTCTCTTCTCAGAGGGAAAAACGAAGTTCTAATTTTATGTACCTGATGATTGAATTCCGTTGCGTCAAGTGTGATGATAAAGAATATGGAATAGTTTACTACGAAAAGGTATGTGCCTTGCAGGCTTTATGGTTTTCTTTGAAAAGCAACATATGCACTTAAAATGAATGGAGCTTTCTGTGGAGGTGAAATATTCTGCTGCAGGATAGCAGCAGACAGCTGTCAGTGGCAACTGTTTATGTACATACAAATCAAGTAGTATAGATTCAACAAGATTGCAGAAGTCAATCATTCATGTAATACAGTTCAAGATTACAGAATTTAACAAATGTGAGTGATTAAAAACTTTTTGATTTATGGTTCCTTCAGTCATCCAGCAGTACTTTCAGAGTAGCTGTATGTGAAATTATGTCTTTCATCAAGAAGATATGTACCTGTATTGATTGGTAACTTTATAAAAGGTAAGTTATTAAAACTTTGCACAGAAGCTCGTTTTCTCTAAAATGAACAAATACAAAACTTTAGTCTTTTATGCTGAAAATGCTTTGAAAGTCAATTAAGTAAAAGACTTCTAGTTTGGAATGTCTTGCATCTTCTCTTCCTGTTTACAAAACAGATCTCCAAAGCAGTATTTTTGAGTTCAAATTAAACGGATTGAAGGGTTAACAGTGAGCTAAACAGACATCAGTGTGGCATTGGAAGGCATTATCAGTACTTTTATGGACCTGTGTATTGCGGAAAGACCCACTGAAATAAAAAAAGCGGTACATCTGTAATCTGGTTTTGAAAAATTCCTCAGTAACTGCCTCTTAAAATTTTCATCATGCTTAGATTCATAAGAATTCAGGAAGTTACTGAATAGTGAGCTTTACAGGAAAGATAAAGAAGGTAGAAAGAGAGACTGGAGTCCTGTTGAGATCAGAAGCACTAACTCTGAGTAGTGTCTGTTTTGAGAATTTAAGAAAAAAATCTATAATTCAGTACACAAAATGTTAATACAGTGGAAAAAGTATTTCTATGTATATGACAACGTTACCAGTTGATCTGGACAGAAGAACTGTGATCTAACTTAAGATTGTTGAAGAAGGCCATGAAAAAATGCAGTAGTAAATTGCAAAAAGCAGGATTCCTGCAAAAAAAAAAAATTCTGAGAAGGCACAGATTAGAATCTGCCCCAACTGTATGATCTGTTGCAAGTTAAAGCATGTGAATGTTTGAAAAAAGAACTATGTAAATGCTGTTAATCTAGCCCGTTGAATTAAGGTGTTATTTAATATTTGAAACTACTAAGAACAGTTGTCTTAAGACTTACGGTTGGACTTGATGATCTTAGAGGTCTTTTCCAACCTTAAAGATTCTATGATTGGGGATTCTATGACTGACTTTAACAGATGCCACTATAGAAGAAGCTCTTAAGGTTGTTTTTCCAATTACTGTAAAACAAGTAGCTGCTTCAGAAATTTTCTAAGCCATTGTAAGAGCTGTGTCTCGCAGACATGATATAAAAAAATGTACATTGATGTCCGTGCTCTATCCACATACCCCATTTATAATGCTTCTGGAGCAAACAGTCGTTCCACTTGGCACTTGGTGTCTCCTCCCACAGTCTGGGGTAAATATGTGGGGTGTGTTTTTTTGGGAGCGAGTTTCATGGGGTTTTTTTGGTGTGTTTTTTTGGCTTGTTTGGTTTTTTTGTTTGTTTGACTGCTTGTTTTTTGGGGTTTTTTTTTGAGAATGTTTTTTGTTTGGTTCCCTTTTGTAGGTTTTTTGGGGTGTTGTGGTTTTTCTGTGGTGGGGTGGTTTTTTTGTTTGGGTTTTTTTTAGTGTTTTGGTGAATTTTGTGAAGTTTGGTGAAACTGTGCCTTAGGCAGATGTCTAGGTTAGCTCTTTAGCATTTTTTTGTGGACTGTAGTTGACAGTGGGACCTCTCCCGTCCTTTCCAGTTCCTTTTGTCTTTAGAATAGCTTCTTTCATAGTGCTTCTGTACACTTCTAGAACCAGCTGTTGTACAGGACCTCGCTATTACAGAACTCCCTTGTTACAATCAGAATGAAACCTACTATGTGTCAGATTCCTCCATGAAACAAAATTATTTACTTCTGTGGAAATCAAGGAAATATTCCTTTGGAGAGCATAAAGCAGTATGATGAAAATATTGAAACATTTTATTAACCATTAGCTTTTTATATTAGAATGTGTGGTACTTTTCACAGCTGCGAAGTGATGAGCATGACCGCTGTGCGGCTTTGTCCTCTTGGCTCCGATTTTTATAGTTGAATGTGACATTGCTAAAAATTATTTCTCTCCCTCACCACCAGAAACCTACCGTTTCAGATTAATTATTCATGATACACACACACAAATTTTTCATCATTGTTACGGTTTTACAGATGTGTAAGGTGTGGGAAAGAAGACTTGGAATTTGAGCAAGCATCTGTTTCTTTTAACAGGTTTCTGAAGCGTGTTAACGGTGCATGGAACAAAATAACTAGGAGCTGGCTGCTCTTGTGGAAATAAAGTAATTGAATGAGTAATAAGACATATTAAAGCTATAACTAACTATAGTTTGAGGGATTTGTTGTTATGAAGTAGCTTTTCAACAAATTCTTGACCCTTTTCTGGTAGCAGTAGGAAACAGTACACAAATTAGTGGCTGTCTTCTAAGTTTTGTCATGCTTTCAGTTACAGTGTACAGTACACATACCCAGCATCTGCAATCCAGTATACTGAGTCTAATGAAAGTAGGTTCTGTTGTCGCCTGCCTGTGACAGATAGTCAAAGTGGAGATTACTTGTCACAGTTTTGTTGATAAATTTGTTGTCAAGTGTTTATGAAGAGCTAGCCTGTTAAACAGTGGCTGATAGAATTTGAGATTCTTGGACTTAGCATTCAATTACAATGAAGTGAAGCAGCTGCGGCGCTTTCCTAGAATTTGAGATTCTTTGGTTTAATATTCAATTACCATGAAGTGAAGTTGCAGTGGCTCTTTCCATGTCCTCTGTTAACTTAATTTTAATACAACATTGAAGATATGAAGGATAGCAGTCTGCTAGTAACAAGAATGTTACTTCTGATTTTTCATTTAGCCAAAAATTCGGTGTCACTTTCCAAGTGCAAATAGCACCAGCATTTATTGTGAATGTTTTTTTGTGCAGGTTTCAAATGAAACCTTTGTTTGAATTAATAAATTGATGGCACTGCTGTATCCACTTGATAAAAAAATCAAGTCTGCTTATCGGGACCTTTTTCATGACTTGAAAGAAACAAAAAGTAGTGTCTACAGTGTTGGGTGTCCATATAATTTTTGTGTGGGAGAAGTTGGATCCTATTGATGTTACCTGAATTGATGTTTTGACTAAAGAATAAGATAATTAGAACCTCCTGATTTACTGACATTGTGAAACTGGTTTTTGGAAAAACACTGAAGAACCTTGCTGGTTCAGAAAGTTCTGCGTATTTCGTTTACTTTCTTAAATGGACTCTAATATTTATATGAAGTCAAACACACTGACCTTAATGTAGTGAAACACCTCTAAAGCTCTGACATAGTAGTTTAAAGCAAATGAATGATGTTCAGTATCAATGTTGCTTTCAGTTTCTAGTGGCAAAATAGCAGCTTATCTCAGGTTCTGGCTGTACTAGCAAGCAATAGAGCCAAGGGGATGAAATTTACAGACTGAAGAGATTGCACCGTGTTCTTGTACATGGGACTAGCTTTAATTGGGTCCCATGGACTGAATGGCAGTTGGAGGATATTAAGTACTTCCAAAACTTCCATGCAATGAACCGAGCTTGCTGCATGGGGATGATCAGGGAAATGCTTCAAAAGCAAGCAGCTGGCCAAATTCAAATGCGAGTTTAGAGCAGACCCTCAGGCATTGTGTGGCTTAGAAAGTTTGTATGGTCAGGGTTACAGTGATCTGTGTGATGCTTTCCAAATAAGAGAGACTTAGCATGCAGCTCTAATCTAATTGGAAGGCAATGTTAAACTTAACTGATGTCCTTCACGGGCAGACAAATGGCATTGTGCATTCTTGAGGATTTCACAAAATAATTTGTTCTGAAAATGTTAATTCTTGACAGAGTAACTTGTCCCACAGTTGCTTTGGCGAAATTTGGTTTTGTAGGAAGTTTTGGCTGACGCTCAAGGCCTTGTTATAAAATGCAACGGGGACAACATTTTCTTAGTACTTGAGCTGAATAACTAGAGCTTTTCAGCTTGACTCTTCAGCATAATCTGGCTCTATTTGAGGAGTTTAAAGAACAATCATTCAAATATTTCTTTGAAAAGGTTAAAAAACCCACATAAGCAGTAGTTTAGAAATGATTATCATGAGTCTTGGAGAAAATACCCAACTTCGTTTTAGAGAGTGTTATAAACATTTTGACATTAGTCACTAGAGAGCTTTGTGTGTTATTTTATTTTTTTCAAATAAGTGAATTTTAGGCAATTGTGTTTTCATCATTCTCATCCTAGTAAGTTCAGAGTTGGTAATAGCCTCTTTCCTGACAGCTATTTTGTCTGAATGTTTTCAGAGAGAAAGATGTAGTAGTATGGGTGTTATTACTATTTATCCCTAGAGAATCCACGTGGGATACGATGTTATAAATGCCTTGGTAGGAGTTTGAACATTTATTAGTTGCTAGTGAATCCACTCCTGTGTCAAGTTTTTTCCTATAGTGCTTTTATGTGAAGGGTCTAAACGAAGTGAAGACTTGTTTGTCAATGGGTCATTGATAATCCTTTGTTTTCATAAAGGTCAAGCCAAACTGCAGCCTTATTGGGGTTTTGACTATGAAGGTAACAGATTAGTAGATAGAAATCAGTCTGTCATCTCTTGTCATCAGATGTGTTTATTCTCAGAAGGATTTCCCCTTCCAACATCACTGTTTTTTGTGTAGTTTGACTTCATAAAAGGAGTATAACTTGATCTGAAAGATCTCTTCAATGAGATGGCAAAGGTTTTAGTACAGTGTGGGTGCTGATCTGTCTGTGTGGCTCCTACTCAGTTCAGCCTACTGTTGTATTGACGCAATAGTTTGGTGTAATAGAAATACCTTAGAAATAATAGTATTTCCACACAGTTAGATTAAAGCTAAGATCATTATTTAAGCAGTATGCTTTTAAAAATCAGAGAAACTGTAGGCAAATATCCTCTGTCCTCCCCATTGTTTTTTAAAGACAAATGAAAAAAGCAATACTGCTTCTGTTCTGGGACCATCATCAGCCACAGCCAGACTATGTATATTCCCCTTAACTAGGAAGAGCGCGTGTGTGTGGTTACTGTTATTATTTTCACTGTAAAATTGTTACTTCAGAAAGGCATAGGACACTAATAAATGTAACAGAAGTGTCTTCCTGAATGTGCATTTTAATAAGGAGATCTTTTACTGTAGTCAGCAACACAAAATTTGTGTAGCTGGAAAAAAATATTTCTCCTGAAAGGTTAATGGCGATTTTAACTCCTGTGTCTTGCTGGTGATGCATGATTCTTTTCTTCCCTTGATACCAGCTCCTCACTTCTTTGAAAGTTACCTCTGAAAGGTATAAAAGCAAAGCTGTTTCAAGAGGCATAGATGGTTGGAAAACAGCTATGGGGGTGGGGGGGGAAGGGGGAGAGGGGTAACGGAAGGTGTGGGCAGAAGCAAACCTGAGCAAGTTACCTCAAAGCTTACATTATTGATGGAAATGTTGATATGTCAAAAGAGCTTTGTGATGAAATGTATTCCAAAATAAATGAGAACAAACTAAATATAAATATAGCATAGCATGTATTATGTCAGTGTTGTCTTTTTTCTGTTTTACAGTTTCATACTGTCTTTTAAATGAAATGTATTTCTGTAGAGGGTGTCAATTAATACTTAGTTACACTTCTAACCTCAAAAAAACAAACCCAAACTGTTGAGTGTGACTGGAAGAGGGAAACAGAGTTGCTGGTTTTGTCACCTGGTGCCAGGTTTTGTATTTTTTTCATTCCGCTTGGTTCGAACAGGAAACTTTTAGTTTCTCCCTACCTGTATTTCCCCACCTGTATTTATGCAGCAGTAGGTTGGACCCAGTTAAGGACAACTAGCAGGGTGCTGTTGTACTGCTCCAGAGCAGCACAGCCTGAACCTCTAGAAGACCCTGCCGTGATCCATGTGGAACCCATGACAGATAGGCACATGTATATCTTTCTAAATTTACCTGTGATCTAGACAGCCTGTCTGTTGAACTATTAGGAGATAACTTTCTGCAACATGGTTGTTACTTCCAGGAGATTATTTGTTTTTGATGGAAATATGGACCCTGATTTGGTTTGCCTTCATGCCCTCCAGAGAATGCTTGTAATGATAATGGCAAATTTCTCAACTTGCTTACCTGTATGCCAGCATGGTAGTGAGTTTTGCTAAGCTGCGTCTCCTCAGGTGAACTTTCATGTGTTTTGCCACTTTGTTTATCATCTGGCAAAAACTAACAAAAAATCTATTTCTTATTTTCTGTTTTCCTCTTTCTAAGTATCAGGTCATCAAGGTGCAGTTGCATCATTCCTTCATTACAGTATAATTCACAATGCATTAATATAGCATGTATTTTTTTTCCTGAAACTTGAGGTGTTTAATATGTCTTTAACTTTTTGTCATTCAGGATGGTGATGAGTCATCTCCGATTTTAACAAGTTCTGAAATTGTTAAGATTCCAGATCCCCAGATGTCTATGGTAAGCAGTGCTCCAAGTAATGCAGTCTGTGTTAAGAGTATTTTTGTTGAAGTTTTCATAAATGGAGATGAAAGCTTGCCTATATTGTTATCTCCACTATTTTAAAACTCAAGTAGAAAGATGTATTTGACCAGTTGAGAAACATCAGTGGGTTTGTCTTTTTGTAGTTTGTTTTTTTTTCTGCTGCTGCTAGGTTAGAATACAAGAATTGATTTACTGCTTATGTTCATCTTCTGCTTTCCATACCTAATGTGCTTGCTTCTGAGGTGTAGGAAAGCAGAGAATGGGTCTTGTTGGCAAAAGAGTTCACAGGGTGGGAATATAAGGTAGGAGGGAGCTGGAGAAAAGAAATTTAGAGGAAGGTGCAGTAACTCTTGATCACTTCATCTGTTAAAATATTTTCTCCCTACACTCTCTTGTATGTTGTCTTTCATGTAGACAGTGCCTAAGTACAGTTCTAGAAAAGATTTCCATTATTGTGGATGCCAATTCAGTGGGACTGGTATTGGCAGCTTTGGGAACCTTAATGTAAGTGGGCTTCTACTGGCAACACTGTTTGAGCACTGTGTAATCTAACACTGCAACAGCAAGTCTGACAATGCTGAAAACTGCCTTGGCTGCTGAAATCTCATTGACACTGTGGCTCCTATTGTGGCTCCTACTGTTGCTAACATGGTATTAACAGTGGGAAAACTTTGAGAAGTTTTTCTTGCATACAAAGCTTCATACTGCAAACATCATCCTATAAATGTTTATAAAGTGGCTAGCACGTTTGAGTGCTGTCTAAATCACAGATGTGTTGACTGAAACGCTTGCATTTTGCAGCAGTTCACCAAATGGCAAGGTAGGATTTGTAAATCTTATGAAGTAAAAAGCAAAACAAAAGTTCAAAGTCCCCAACAACCCTCCACATATTATTGAAGGAGTTTCTTCTAAAACAACAAAATAATCCAGAAGATGCTGTGGTTTTAGATATGAATTTAAATTGTCATGCATTACTCAAGGTACTGGTGAGTCTTTGCTAGGTGGTTTTACTTCAGTAGTAATTCTCTCCAGAGTTTAAATATTTGTAAATACTGACTTACCCTCTGCATTTAGGAGAACTTAGTAGAAAGCAAACATCACAAGCTTGCTCGAAGCTTAAGAAGTGGACCTTCTGATCATGATCTGAAGCCTAATGCAGCTACACGAGATCAGCTTAATGTAAGTCAGTTGTAAGATAGCTAAATTCAATGTTGTTAGGTAGGTTGGTATTAATATATGGTGACAAATTAAGGAAAATACAGTTCATGGCAGTTTAAAGAAAGTCATTAACAAACAAATGTCATTAAGTGTGTCTTACAAGGGGTTGGTTAGATGGGTCCAACTCAGAAAGGAGCAGAAGGTACTTGCTCATTTTTTTGTGAACAGTTTTGGGATGTTAAGAATCCATATTGTGCATATACCATGTAGGTGTAAAAGTAACTGTGTATGTTTGCCTATGCTGCCAGTTCTATCAGCCACATAACCAAGGGGCATCACTGTGATAGCATGAGAACTTTGTGTTGTTGGAAAGCTTGTTTGTTGTCAGTGTTGTGTTTTGTTAGTGTAGTCTGTTAACTTGTGGATTTTGCTTGTTCGTGTTTTTAACCTCACTTTCTGACTGTATATCTAATAGATCATAGTGAGTTATCCACCGACAAAGCAGCTAACGTATGAGGAACAGGATCTAGTTTGGAAATTCAGATATTATCTTACTAATCAGGAGAAGGTAAGTGGAATGATTTGAGAGGACTTATTAATGCAAGACGTGCTTCATCTGGCACTCATTCTACAATGTTCGGTCCTTGCAGAGATACAGAGCTTTAGTGTCTTGGAAGCTAATCAAGATTCTTTTAACTCTTTATGTGATGTTACTGATTCAAAAATTGGTGACTAATTTTCCTTCTTAAATCATATGAACTGGCTGTTACTACAGCAGTCTTTCTACAAACACTGACTGTCAGCCTAAAATACCAATGTTGCAAATTTGTCTTCAGCAAAGAAATTAGTTACTAGAGGTGCTTCTTCATCCACTTTAGAGAAGGGTTAGCATTACCAGAATAAGTAGCACCACATCAAAAGCCTAAAGTAAATAACTAAATAATCCCCTAGCAGTAGGCATTTTTTTATGTAGTGGTAATTGTGGTAAAGCAATAACCATTGACTTTACATTTTACTTAGAGGATAACTCAGCTGCATTTTTTGGGGGGACATACCAGAACAATCCAGTACTGTATTGTCACTTACATAAGTAAGGTTCCCTAGGTCTGTGCTTAGGTAAATATAGTCTGAATCTAGTTCTAGCTTAACATGAAACATTAATTTCTTAAACCATTTGTTTAGCATGGGTTTTGACTGATGAATTGTCCAATCTCTTTCTGTTTAGGCCTTGACAAAATTCTTGAAATGTGTCAACTGGGACCTACCACAAGAGGCAAAGCAAGCACTGGAGCTGTTGGGCAAGTGGAAGCCCATGGATGTGGAAGACTCTCTAGAACTTCTGTCATCTCACTTCACCAACCCAACAGTTCGGCGATATGCTGTCGCCAGGCTTCAGCAGGCTGATGATGAGGTATTAACTGGTCTGTGGGTACATGTGACAGTCAGCTGGTCTCAGGATTTTTAGTCTCATTGAGTGCTTGAAATGTTTGCTACTTTTTAAGGCATTGACGTGAATAATAGTGATGGAAAAGTAGTAGCACTTCCTGATAACTGTCTTAGTGCGAGCACCCAGTTGTAGCTGGTTTTGCCAAAGTGAAACAACCATGTTCCTCCTCAGAAACCAGTGATAAATTTGGATGTTAACCTACACAGAAGTGCTCTGTACTTAAATAGTCTACTAAAAGATTTCCAACAAATCCACCTGGTAAATTGAAACAGCATATTGTCACACTTCTGTGAAAGATAGTGTGTAGAAAAGCATCTGTGGACATAAGGTGTTTCTAGTTATATACTCATGAGAATATGATGAGCTGTGATTTGTGAGCCCACTTAATAGATGCTGATCTGTTAAAATGTAACTATATATTTTATTTTCTTTTGACAGTGTATTACTATAACTCTTGAATCCTTGGCAATCCATAGTTAAAATAGGGAGCGTAAATGTATCAGATTTTTGCAAGCCTAATTCAATAGCCAAGGACATACTGCTTTGACTGTAAAAGTGTACCTTTTATGAAACATTTTATGAAACATTGGAAGGCAATTAAACGGATCAGGTTGAATAGTAGAGGGAAAAAATTAATTATAAACAGCAAGTGATCAACGTTCTACAATCTGAAACAGATCAGATAGTGGGTTTTTTGGGTCTCCCGCTACACAAGGGATCAAAAAAAAAACACAACAGAAAAACCCCGGATAGTACGTGGGAGGAGAGAATCTGAATTCCTGGTATGATGGTCTAGATTTTATGCTTGAATTTTCTTCTTGGGAGCCACAAACCGAAAGGCTTATTTTGTGGATGCTGGAAACAAGTAGGGCAGCATAACTAAAAGAACTTTAAAGTAGTAATTCCACTTAAATATTTACTTAATTAGCACTTAACTACCTTTGAGTAACAAAAAATCTGTAGTGTGAAAGGTATCTTTTGGGAGTCAAGCTTCATCGTACACCAAGATTTCTATTATATATTGGTTGCTAGGGAGACCCCAATTTCCATTTCTTTATAGGTCACAAAGTCGTGATGAAGTTTTTCTATAAATTAGCATTTCGAAAGCCTACGGAGTCCTAGTCAGCTTTGAACCCCTCAATTAACTTTCACTTTTTTTCCTCTGTGAGGATTTGCTGATGTACCTGCTACAGTTAGTCCAGGCATTGAAATATGAGAACTTTGATGACATAAAGAATGGACTGGAACCTAGCAAGAGGGACAGTCAAGGTTCAATGTCGGAAAGCATGACAACATCTGGAACTAATGGTGCAGAAATAGACAGGTAAGAAGCTTAGATTTCCAGCAGAAAAGCAGAAACATAATGTTGTAAGCCCTCAAATGCGTACTCCTTTTTAGGGACCATTACATATTCAGCATACTATTAAAAACCAAAAAAATTGTGTACAACCCCTGAGCTTTCATGGAGTGTATTTACTGACTACAGATAGCTTATGCAGCAGATACTCTTGGTCTTGAAGTGTGGCCTTTGGTCTTACGGCATGAAAGGAAGACATCTTCTGGAGATCAGGAAGAACACTGGGCATTTCTTCCTTCTGTCCTTGCAAAAGTTAAGATGTTTTCAATGAAGTTGTTGTATGAGGCTCTACGTCCCACTTTCACCAAAGAATATGAATCTAAAAGTCTGATCAGTCTGAAATGGGAAGAAATTTCTTTCTGCTCCTGCAAGAGAAGGTGTAGGGAGAGTCCTGTAAATGTAAAGGAGATGGGCGAGCACACTTTTTATTCTTAAAGGAATCCAGAAGAAAGGCTGAAATAACTAATTAATATAGTATTAAGGAAGGTGAAAGCAAACTTGGTTAACCAAAGTGTTCTGTGAATATTTAATACAAATTTGTAGGGTTTTTAGTCTTAAGCTTCAGTTGTGTCACTGGGATATACTTTTCATATTACAAATACACTGCTCTTTGATCTTGCTGCTAAGCTGTAGAGTGGGTGTCCTGGGATGTATGGTGTATTTTTAGGCTGCAATGACACTTAGACATTAGTAGAGCTGTTGGATTACTTCCTTTCAGGTAAATTTACTGTGATAATTTTGCCTTGCAAGCATTGGGTTTGTGTACTGTTATGTGTAATTGCATTCTAGAGATGAGTGTTTGCAGGTGTTGTGTATTAGCCATTTCATCTGAAGTACATATAAAAAAGTTATCCTGAAAATGTGGACTTGCTAAATTCGTATCTGTGTCTACTTATTTTTTTTTTTATGGAAGATGAAACAAAATGCTAAGTTAGGTGTAAGTGAATGTCCTTCACAGCCATAAACTGTGTAGCTATCCAGGCAAAAAGTTCTGCATTTTTAGGAACTGCACCTGTCAAAGATGCTGTTCATGCAGTTAGTTCTGAAACAGAGAAGCGATACGATCTTCACAAATACTTCTCATCCAGTTTTCTGATTTTATTATGCTGTGGAAGTGAAAATGTGTTGCTATTTCCATGCATGTCCCCTGCCCCCCAAGCAAGAACTTTGAATCATGCCAGTTACGTACTTTACTTTATGTAGTTCCCAGATCATGAGTCCTATTCCACCTGTTTCCTCACCACCCCTTACTTCTAAGACAAAGGAGCTTGCAGACAATGAAAACCTTGATGTAAGTCAAATGCTTTGCCTTGCGGTTTTGATACCTGAGGCTTTTTAGTCATGTAGTACTAGTTTTAGTTTTTGTTTGTGACTGTTTGAATCTTTCTACTGTATCTTGCTGAATACTTGAAGTGCTCAAGGAATGTAAGTGTAAACTAAATGCTAACAAAATAGCAGTAGCTCAACTGATTTTTTTTTTAACAGGCCAGGTATTTATGTATATGGTCACACTATCCAAAATTGGGGGTCTGGGCATTGAATATTACTATAAAATTACCGTCCTTTGAAGGAGAAAATTACTGTAAATGCTATCTTGTGCTGATTAGATACTGCAATTACATGTTTGAGGTGTTTTAAAGCAGATTTTTTTTTAATGGAAGACAGTTACCCAAATGTTACATCTTTGCAGTCTGTTCTTCCTATAGCTGTATTCTTTGGCATGGGTGTCATCTTTTTGCCCCTAAGTGAGATACTGTGATTTACATCTTTGAAAGATTGTCTCAATTTATACCATGAGTAGAAGAGTAACACAAATGGGACCAAAAGGAGGGAATGATACAAGGAAAAGACAGTTTGAGGGAATCAGATTTTAATCTGATGTGCAGTTAACTGGTCCGTGAACTAAGGTTCCATTACCCATTGCAAATCTTTGTTTTTTGTCTCAGTATTGCACAGAAATTAAGCCTCAAAACGAGCATATCAGTAAAGATACACAGATTTCTTGTTAATTGGAATATTAAACCTTGAAAAAGCAACTAAATAATGTGTATCCTTTACAGAATTGTTCTTTATGCTAAAATGTGGAACATCTTAATGAGTTTCAGATCTTCTGGGTGCAAAACAGGGTAGGAGATTCCTTTCAAAGTTGAATGTTACAGCAAGGGATAATTGCATGTGAGGAAAGTCTAATATATTGTAAATAGAAACTTTACATTAAAGACTTATTGGAGAGTATTGTGTACTTTTGACATGTTGGTAAATACATTACTGTAGTAGTGGACATATTTCTATTTGTATTGGAGTTGCTGGTTTTATTTGGAGTAATATTAAAAGTAATATGGTTTAAATATTAGATTGGATTGGATTCAACTTTTGAAAGGGAATGCATCTCTCAACTCACTGCAGATACATGTTTTTTTTTTTCCTTAACCTTGTCTCTCTCCTAAGGACTCAGACTTCTTTATAACTTAATTTTGCTTTTCTTAAACCCCTTGCAGCAAGACCTTTGCACTTTCTTGATATCTCGAGCATGCAAAAATTCCACGTTGGCAAACTACTTATACTGGTATGTTAGAAACAATTTATTCATACTGTATCAATGTCTAATCGAAATCAAAGCTATAATGCCCAGAAGGATGCCCAGCAAAATGTGATCTGTCTTGAGAATCTCGGTTCCTGTCAGGATGAAGTAGTAGACTTAAATCAGTGTATGTTTGAACAGAATAATTAGTAAAAGGAGGGTGAGGGTGCTGGCTTTTAAGTGTCACAAATGTGCCTTACTGTTAGACAATGGAAGGTGATTTGTAGGCTGTTAAGTACAATGTTAAAAAGAGGAAGAAAACCCTATACTTTGTAAGTTGTCATTCAATTCGTTTATGGTGGTGGGAAGGAGAAGTTCACCTTCTGCTCTGCTTTTGTGTTTACAGTTTTTGATGGTGTTGGGTAGAATATTAAAGTTACGCACTTTAGTATTAATCAAGAGTGTGCTTTATGAAGGTTCACAAGGCACTAAGTTTTTTTGTGCTAACCTTCTTTTTTAGATTCCATTTGTGGCTATTTTCTGAGAACTAACAAAATGTCATTGCAGATGTGCTTGCTTAAGGGGGAACTTTAGTTGTGAGTAGTTCGTTTAGATAGTGAGAGGTGAGATTACTCTGTTAAGGATCTTGTCTCACTTCAGTGATTTAAGAATTAAATCAGATGCCTAAACTAGTGATCTGCATGCCTTTTGAGTAACCATTTGCAGAAGAATTATCTCATATGAAGAAAGCTGAGATGAAAGCTGTACTCTGTGAAAGCGTGTGTATAGGTATATGCACATGCACAACACATACAACTATTTACTTGTATATACACACGTATTTTAAAATAGAGCTTAGATGCTTTATGTAGCTGAACTTAAGTCAAATGATTCTCATTTGTGTCCTTTAGATATATCTAATAATAAAAATACTAATACATGTTATGGTACGTTAATGTAATATGAATATTAATCACAGATAAGCTGTAAATTAGGAATGGAGTGTGATATGTGACGTAAACATGCCAAACTGTTCTTATAAAATTCTTATAAGAATCCTAGCCTACCCTGAGAGTGATTTCATTTGTAAATTTCAGTAGCTTGAGTTTAAAATGTGTAAGTGCATGACTTAACTACTGTTCCGTAGTGTACATACTTCTATTGCAGTTGCCAAAGGTAATGTTTTGCTTCAGAAAAAAATGCTATTTAAAGTATTAAAATAATTGCAAGCCTAATTGATGTAGGTAGAAGCCAAATGCTTGACTTCATTAAATATTTTTTATTTGAGTTAAATGCTAGTAGGTTAGCATATTTCTATCACATTGCTAGAAACTTTGCACTTACATTTCAGCAGCATCTCAGACACGCAGTCTACAGAAAGTTCAAAAATCCAGAACTCTGAAGTTTTTTTCTTACAACTAAAACAACAACAAAAAAAAAACCTCCAGCAAAATTGTGAACAAAAATCCAGTCAATTTAGTCTTTGTTTTCTTCCCAGACATCTCAATTTCTCAGTGACAAAATACAAATATTGCAGCTGCTCTTTGAGCTGATGTAGCTATAAATCCTCTTGGCTGCTGATCAATTGCTCGTTTCAACTATCCAGACACAGCATGCACCTAAAATAATCAGTGGAAAAAGTACAATAACCCTTGAAAATCAAAACTCCCTGCTCAGTCACCTGTCATTGTAAAGCTATTCCATCCCTATATTTTAGCAGTGGCTACAGAAGTCAGTGCTACTGCTTTTTTCTGTCTCTTTTTTGGACGTATGAGACATCCATAAAAGTACGAAGCATTACTCTTAGTCCTTGTTTCAGGATAGCTTTGAGAAACTGTCTAGGGCTTTTTAATAAATGAGGGTGAAAGTAGCGTGTTCCAATTCAGTGCTTCCTATTTTCCTTGAAGTTTTGATGCACGAATTTTGTAAATATGGGCTTATTTTTATACACATGCTACTGCAATCTGGTTTTGTCACTTTAGTGAGGGGTCAGTGTAGAACAATATGTTAGCAAAGTTCTAGAAGTAATCTCTAGTTATAGATTTAATTGGGACAATACTCAGAAAAAGTTACATATGCCTTATTTTAAGGTATATAGTATTGTGTATTTACATAGGACTAGTCAAATCTGATCAGCTGCAAATGACACCTCTAATCTTGTGCTGTAACAGTTCAGTTGCAAAGAGATTCTGCACAGGTGTGTAAGAAGGGGATAATTCTAGCTGTCAACATAAAGTCCAAGCATGTTTGTTGAATGTGTGGAGTCACTTTTGAATTCAAATGCAGTGTCTGAAAATTGACTGACTTGCTCATTGGTTCCTTTTTACTACTGGGATTACATGTTTTTACTGGGTAATACTGGGAGATATATTGGTCAGCAGAAGGAAGACCTTCTGTGCATAGCTACTTTCTGTTTGTCAGTGCTGTGTGTAGAAATAAGCACAAAAGCTTTCCAAGCAACTGCTTAACATAACAAATTAAGTTTTAAGTGTAACCGTTACAAAATGTACTATTTAGATCTTCTGCTCGAATCACAATTTTAGAAATGGAAACTTATTTTGGAACGTAGACGTTGCAGAGCTGCTACAGGAACAATACCTTCTCTTCCATCACTGCTAGTAGCAAAATAGGAACATGTAGAGTGAGATTCTGTGTATTTTTGTAGATATACTTGAATAGCAAATTTGCAGACACTACATTATTGAGAGGGTAGTAGCACAGTGGAATGCTCTCTACTTCCATGTTTACTGCTTCATTGGAGTGTTCAGCTAATTTGGACTTCTGACTTGTCCTGTTTGAGTGGTGTCATTTCACTGTAAGTGAAAGACTGCAAAAACTTTGATAGACTCTCCTGATTCAAGTGGGAATTTGACTATGCAATTTTCAAGAGTTTGCCGGTTGGTTGATATCTCAGTCAAAGATTGACGTTAGTCCCAGGCTGTAATACAGGGCTGCTGTATTTCACTCCAATTGTGTAGCACCAGACTACACTAAAACATGGGCTGGTTTTATGCTGCAGGTATGTAATAGTGGAGTGTGAGGACCAAGACACTCAGCAGAGGGACCCAAAGACTCACGAAATGTACTTAAATGTGATGAGAAGATTTAGTCAAGCTTTGCTGAAGGTAATGCCTCTATGTAATCAGTCTATTTTATTTCTGTTTTCTTTATTGGCAGCACTTGTCTTTGCAGTGCAAATGGAGATAAGACCTGCCTTTTAAATTCATAGTGTTGTTCTGTGTATCAGCAGCAGAGGGTGCTGGAGTAGCAGGGAATAAAAGCAAAAACAACAAAAACCCATTGTGAATTGCATTCTATAATTTATAGCAGATGTGCAGTCTTTCCTGACTTCAGTGTATCTCACGCTTCATGTTAATTCTCATTTTAGGGGTGTAACTTAAATCTGATTCTTAGGCTTCATGGGAGTATTCTGTGTGCTTATCCTTACTAACTTATTTTGGCTGTGTAAATAGGTTTGTCATGCATGACTTCACCACTGAAATTATTGAAGCAAATTGAAGTGCAGTAGTAGATCAGATAACTGATTGCTAGCTACAGTGATTCTGATTGTGTTTTACAGAAAATACATATTGAATTGACAGGAAATTGATCATTATTCACTTACCTCTTAAAAGCTCAGAGGTGTAAGAATAAAAGAATAATTTCTAGGTAAAATAATTACAGAACAAAGAACTAATTTTGTTTCTTTTAATTCATGCAGGGTGATAAGTCTGTCAGAGTTATGCGTTCATTGTTGGCAGCCCAGCAGACATTTGTAGATCGGCTGGTTCATGTAATGAAAGCAGTGCAGCGTGAAAGTGGGAATCGTAAGAAAAAGGTAACTAAGGGATTGGAAAACTTCTCTCTGGGTAGAATTTGACAATAGGAATGTTAGCTTTTCACTAAAAAAATCTTACCAGTGAAATTTAGAACAGATGGACATCTGTTCTGTAATAATTTTAGCGAACTTTAAACAAACTTTGGAGAGGTTTACATGGGTCAAAGTTCCAAAGTGTTCTGCAAGTTTGTAGATGAAAAACAGACGGGGCTCTTGAGGAAGAATCGTGGGATATTTTGGCAAAAGGAAGATATGAGAATAAATGAATAGTTGATGATATAACAGTGAACAAGTTGTGGGGGATGTGGGAAGGGAGCAGAGGTTACTGTGGTGTAAGAGTCATGCCATGATAAATAATGTAATTGGACTAGCGGCAAGGTTTCATTTGCTCCAAGAACACCAGAACTATTCTTTTACAAGGAGTGCCTTTAACAGAACTTTCTGTTGCATCTTGAGGAAAAGGATCTATGTCGTAGGTGCAGTTTAAGAAGCCTTGTCCTGGGTTAACATATTTTAAGTGGACTCGACAGACGGTTATGGGGAGGAAGCAGGAACCCCAAAGGGATTTCTATTCATACGTTATCTTTTCTGACACACGAGAGTATTTTTAAACAGGGATTTTTCAGTGTAGTAACTTTTGTCACCTTCTTTCTGTAAGTTTGTGGGATATATTTGTGCAGGAACTTAATGTCATTATTTTTATGAAGTGTTGTGAATGTTTATGTATCAGTAATAAAGGTGTAATCACTAGAAGAGGAGAAGGAGGGTTAATGTTCTTTTATAATAGCCAGGATATTTCTGTAAAAGTAAGAAACACATGGCTTTGATTTTTGGATTAAAATCTAGCTAGAAGCAATTAAGAAGTAGAAGTATTCCTAACACTAGTGGGCTCCCTTAGTGTCTCTCTTGTGTTTGCCTGTTATATTCAGTAGGGGAAGAGACTAGAGACATCTGTGTATTCGACCTTAATTATGTAGGGCACCAAGTGTAAAGTAGCCAAAAATTGACTGGTGTTGTGTTTCTGATAACTACAGATGTAGGAATGTAGACCAAGCCCTGATATCAGTTTTATTCAAGCTGTTGGCAATGTGATTTATCGGTGGTAGGGAATCTGCATGAGTTCTAGGATTTAAAGGGTCAGAACTAAGGACTTGAATCAAGTTTCTGAAACAGAACCAACATTTGATACTGATATAGAAAACACATCATCCTGCTACTTATGCAGGCAATCTAGAAATAAATTTTTGTAAGACTATTATATCTGGCACTTACAAAATTGCTTGACTGTACTCAGACGGAATATCTTCTTCTGTATTCAGATTACTGCAAATAGAGAATTACTATTTCACGGCATTTTAAGAGTGAAATCTTGATTCTGTGGAAGAGTAAAGAATTTAATAAATTGGATATTTATTAATATATCCTTTGTAAAAGGACTTTTTGACTGTTCATATATACCTGGTATGTATTATGCTTTTTGTTTTTTTTAAACAAGTTTTTGATTCTTTTTTTGTTTTAGAATGAGAGGCTTCAGGCTTTGTTAGCAGATAATGAAAAGATGAATTTAGCAGATATGGAACTTATCCCACTTCCTCTGGAACCTCAGGTGAAAATTAAAGGGATAATCCCTGAAAAAGCCACACTCTTCAAGGTAAGTGAGATCTTCTGAAGAGCTGAAATACAAAACTCTAAGCACTAAGCTTAAAAAACATCAGCTGAAAGATTTAAAGGGGCTGACATAATCGAGGCAAAATTTAACACTGCTGGTAAAGTGGTTAAACAACTCTATTTCCTTTGTGAAACTCCGTTTTCAAGTTAATATGCAAACTTCAAAACAGATTTTGTAAGATTGATACAGTTTATAAAGTTTATGAAGTCTCAAGTGTAACAGCATGCTTCTTAGTTCAGAATTTCTCTGAATGTTAATTAGACTGTGTTCAACAGGAATAGCACTCATTATCGAAATCATACAGATCAAGTCAGGTGCCCTGCATCTCAGCTAAATGCATGTGTCTGTTCCATTGCAAAATGAAACAGTTAAATTATAACTTCTTTTTTTCCAGTCTCTAACATGATCATAGAATAGTTTGGGTTGGAAGGGGCCTTTAGATGTCATCTAGTTCAACCTCTCTGCTATTAGCAGGGACATCTTCAACCAGGTTAGGTTGCTCAGAGACCTGTACAGCCTGACCTTGAATGTTTCCAGGAACTGGGGCATCTCCCACCTCTCTGGGCAACCTGTGCCAGGGTTTCACCACCCTCACCATAAATAAAAGTCTTCATTATATCCAGTCTGTATATTTATTTTTTTTTTAATTTAAAACCCTTATCGTAGCCCTGCTGAAAAGTCCATCCTCATCTTTCTTGTAAGTGCTGTTTAAGTACTGGAGGGCCACAATAAGGTCTCCCCGCAGCCTTCTCTTCTCCAGGCTGAACAGCCCCAACTCTCTCAGCCCTTCCTTACAGAAGAGGTGCTCCATCCCTCTGATCAGTTTTGTGTCCCTCCTCTGGCCCCACTCCAACAGGTCTGTGTCTTTTCTTTGCTGAGGGCTCCAGAGCTGGACACAGCACACCAGGCAAGCTCTCACCTGAACGGAGTACAGGGGCAGAATCCCCTCCCTCAACCTGCTGGCCACGCTTCTCTTGATGCAGCCTAGGATACGGTTGGCTTTCTGGGCTGCAAGTACATGTTGCTGGGTCATGTTGAGCTTTTCATCCACCAGTAAGGTCCTTCTGAGCAAGGCTGCTCTCTATCCCTTCGTCCCCCAGCCTGTATTGATAGTGGGTGTTTCCATGACCCATGTGCAGGACCCTGCAGTGGGCCTTGTTGAACTTCATGAGGTTCACATGGGCCTACTTCTCAAGCTTTTCCCAGGCCCTCTGGGTGGCATCCCATTCGTCCAGCCTGTCAACTACACCACTCAGGTTGTACCAGTGTCCATCTGGACATTGAGCCGTTGACAACTACCCATTGGACGTGACCATCCAACTAGTTCCGCATGGACTGAACAGTCTACCTCTCAAATCCTTATCTCTCCAATTTAGAGAGAAGGATGTTGTTGTGGACTGTGTCAAAGGCCTTACAGAATTCCAGACAGATGACATCCACAGCTCTTCCCTCCCTGTCCTCATTGTGCCTTAGGATAGCTTCTAGGAGGATCTGTTCCATGATCTTCCCAGGCACAGAGGTGAGGCTGACAGGTTGGTTGTTCCCAGGGTCCTCCTTTCTACCCTTTTTTAAAATGGATGCAATGTTTCCCTTCTTCCAGTCACCAGGGACTTCGTCTGACTGCTATGACTTTTCAAATATCGTGAAGAGTGGCTTGGCAACTCCATCAGCCAATTCCTTGAGGACTCTGGGATGCATCTCGTCAGGTCCCGTGTACTTACGTATGTTCATGTTCCTCAAGTGGTCAAGAAGCTGATCTTCACTTACAGTAGGAGACACTTTGCTCCTCCTGCCCCCATCTTGCAGTCCATCCACGAGAGGTGTGAGAAGAGAGATTGCCAGTGATGAGTGAGACAAAAAAGTTGAGTACCTCAGTCTTCTTGTCTGTTGTTACCAGTTTGCCAGTCTTGGGAGGGCATGAGTCGTGCTCATCTGGGAGGGTAGTTTCTTTGACCTCCCTTCTCTGGCTGACATACCTGTAGAAGCCTTTCTTATTATTCTTTGCATCCTTTGTGGAGTTCAGCTCCAGGTGGTCCATTTCATTCTCTTTCAGTGGACTGACAGGTAAATTCTGTGTCCTTAAGGTTATTCCTTAAACGAAACTGTAGCAGTTGGCTGTGATCATGTGGCTGTCCCTCAACCTAGTTACTAAACAGGCCATAAGCTGTTGAAAGGGCTGGGGTTATTCTGCTTCCTACACTACTTGGAATGTAAGTTATTGCTGGTGTCCAGTGATGTAGGACCTCTTTATAAATTTACTTTCATTTCATACAGGTGACTGCGATCTAATTTTAAGATGACCAAAATGTGCTTTACCAGTCAGGTCTATGTCCAGGAGGCTTTCTCTGCTAGTTAAAAACCCTTCAAGCTGGTGTGTCAACCAGTCTTAATCCATCATCTCTACTAGGTCATAAATTTATTATGCCAAGTAGTTTCAAACTTTGACGGGCTGCTTGCTGACTGTGATACAACTTGTGCTTACTTAAAATCAGAGATGAATTTTTTTTCCATAGTTTTCTACCATATCATCCCTTGGTTCCCTAGCTTTGGCTTCCTTCTTTATATACCATTTAGTATTTTTGAAGAGTATGCTTCTACTCCATGCTCTTGCACCTCAGGTTGGAGGCAACATTGGAAGATCTTGTCATGAAAACAAGCTTTTGCAAACCTGAGTCAACTTTTAGCATGAATACGATTTCAGGTTGGGGGAAGTATATTGACAAAAAGACTGATGGAACAGCAAAAAAGTGTTTCTTATCAAGAATAATAGCTTAACTTGATCAGGACAAACTTAAGTCAGATAGTCTTCTAAGTGCTGGTCTTCTGTAGCAATGCCAAAAGTTTAGTACTAAAAATACAAGATATGACTTCTTCCAAAATCAGAGATGGCTTTGATTCTTGTGGTTCTGAAAGGTTACAGATTTCCATTTAATCTCTCATTCTGTACTATGGAATAAAAACCCAACAAACCCAAAGAGGGAAGAATGACTAAATTTTGATACTCTTGGACATCACATGGCAGCTTTTGTAGGACCAGCTAAATAATAATTTTTCCTTTATTTTTGGAATTTAATAATTTTGAAACATTCATTGCATTTGAAAAATCTAATGTAGCTGCTCAAATGTTAAACTCTGTATACTCGATATTTTTGTTTTGGTTTTGAGGGAAGTGGCTTGATCATTTGCAATAGATAGTCATTCCTGTGGGTAATTGATCCCCTTCAACCCTTTTTATGCAGAGAGAAATTGAAAACAATTAAACTGGCTTTCTCAAATAACAATGTAAAAGGGCATTTTTGCATTTACTAAATAGACTAAGGAAGCAATTAATGGTTTAATAAGTCTTGCCCCTAGCATTTCTTTGATATTTATCCTATAATTGTGTCTCTTTTTGATCTGGTCATTTTAAATCTATTTTGGTGTGACCTTTTGCGTAGTGCTTCTATGTTGATTGGAATTACACGCATACAAACAAAATTTGAATCCTTCTGTCCTTTCCTCTTCAGCTGCTGACGAGGGGGGCGTGGGTGGGGGAAATGTATCCTTCACACTCCTTGCTAAAAAAAGAAGGAAAACCTTAAAGTATTTCTTAAAAATCATGCCTAGATGACACTTTTGGTAACTGGAAGTAGTATGTTCTAACTGTTGAATCTTAGACAGTCAGTAACTGCTTTTAGGAGCTTTAGGATTGCTGCTTTTCTACCAAACTTGAGGAACGTGAGTTCTGGTGCTCACTGCCACACTGTTGGTATTCAAATAGGGCTATTCTAAACCTTTTTGTAGCTGAATTTGATACTTGAATTCTGTGACCTGATACTTGCTTCTGATTTACAATGCAGTGAACAAGGGTTTATGTGTTAGAGCTCCACTGTAGCAACATGTTAATATGGACATTTCTGTGAACCAGCTTAGTAGAATCAGTTACCTTTTCCAGAGTGCCTTAATGCCTGCTCAGCTATTCTTCAAGACAGAAGATGGAGGCAAATACCCTGTAATTTTTAAGCATGGTGATGATTTACGTCAAGATCAACTTATTCTTCAGATTATTTCACTGATGGATAAGGTGAGAATTACTGATCTGCACCCTTGTCCTCCTATGTTCTTCATTTATCCTAGTTGAGAGCAAGACTGCTGAAAACTGTTAATGCAGCTTATGTTGCTAATATATTCCAGGGTTCTCAGCTCTTACATGGCTTCTTTCTTTACTGTATGGACAGGCAGTGAGCCTGTACATACTTAAAAATCAATGAATAAATAAATTGGCAAACTGGCTTTCAGTCATTACTAATTTCATTGAAGAACAGTGGAGATCAATGTCCAATACACATTCCTTTTAGGAATACAAACTGCCTTTCTGTTGCATTCATTGTGTGTTTTGGTGTGTTTTGTGGTTTTTTTTTCCAGCTGTTAAGAAAAGAGAATCTGGATTTGAAGCTGACACCCTATAAAGTGCTGGCAACTAGTACGAAACATGGTATGAGTACTATCTTAAAAATATGGTATTGGGAAGACTATTCTCCTTCTCTTCATTGACTGTTGTAACACGCTTTTCATGTGAGATGTTTTGCTTAGTACAACATTTGAAAAAGGATCTCTAATGTTAAGAAAATGTTGTTGCAATATAAGATGTGGAAGGAAACGACTGACTGCAGTATTCCATGGGTGACTCAGATATCTTTGTAAAAGAAGCCTGGTCTGGATTTCAGAGTATGTGATAAGCAGTAGTGTTAGCTTTGCTGCTAGCTTACTGTGTGATCTCGGACAAAGAACTTTTAACACTCCTGTTTATAGTTCTTTGCATGCAATGGAGGGGGGGAAAAAAAACAAGACAAAATCAAACTTGGCTATGCTTTTAGATATATTGTGGATAAATATTTAGAAAGCTACTGATTTATCTTTCTCTTCTGAAAACTTGGAATAACAGACCTTCTGCAAGCTAATTTGTTGTTAATGACAAGTTGGTTTACAAATACTGAAGGCAGAAAGTTGGGACAAAACATGGTTTTTTATGCCAATGAGAAGCAGTTGAATGGAAGTATATATTAATGATGTCTTTTGATGAACGTGTTACGGAGTGGCATGAAATTTCTATGCATTGGAGATTTTTATGGGTGGTTTTCTGTTGCAGGCTTCATGCAGTTTATTCAGTCAGTACCAGTTGCAGAGGTTCTTGCTACTGAGGAAAGTATACAGGTATGTGATGGGGGATTTTTAAGTCATCTTGTGATCAAACAATATGAATTGCAGACTTAGATCTCATGCAAAAGTCTTTAGTGTCTCAGCTGATTTCTGTATCTGTTAGAAGACAAACTACAGCTTAAAGCATAAGGGTATTTACAGCAAAAGTTTTACTTTAAAAATATGTATGTAAATCACCACATGAGTATCTCATAGCCTAAAAGTAATATCACTTAAGTAATTAAAGTGTATTTTAGTTGTGATACTGAAATTCTGGCTTTGCTGTATTGATGGATGGTAGGTGCATGACACTGTTCTGTACTGTTTTGTTTTAAAGTGTTTATGGTATTCAGTTAGTGCTTTTGGCTTGATACCTTGTCAAAATATGTTTTAATGATTTCTCTTTTTTTTTGTGGAACAACTAAATAGTTTGTCCATATGATTTCTGAAGTCTGTTTCCCTGCTGTAGTGGATGTATAGCTACTGTATGATTTCCTTTACTTGTTTATTTTTACCTTTTTTTGCAAACTTTCTGTAACTGACATGGAATTGAGCAGGGACACAAAATTCATGCTAGTTTCATGGACGGCACACAAGTGAAGTAGCAGAGCTCAACTGGTTGAGATAAATATAGTTAGATAATAATATACCAAACTACTGTATGAGGTGTACAGCTAATAAGTTTTATAATGATAACACAGCATGTTTGTGTTGGATTCACTGTGTCACTACTTTTTTTTCCCTTTTTTTTGTAATTAATACTGAAGTTTGCATTTGTTCATGGCTGAGTGATGGGGAACCAAAGCAAAATAACTCCTAGCTACTAGTAATTACATATGTTAAAAATAGGGAAGTTAAAACATGCTTATCATTTGTCATTATTTTCTTAAGAAGTATATCAAATGCTTATCACTTATAAAAAAATGCTTGTCATTAATCCATGAACAGCGTAAAGTTGCAAAAGTTTTTTAAGCTTCCTGTTCCGTAAATATTGTGATAAGCTACATATACACATTCGATAATCATACAGTTTAGAAAGTGTTTGCTTGGCAATCCTCTGTAGTCTTGGAAAGGTACTATTCATATTCTAGTCCATTATATGTTTTTATAGTATATTTAGAAATGCTTATGAAAATGTGATTTTGCAATTACTGATGATATCATATTCCAGTCTAAAGTAGGTGCCCCACTGTTTTAGTTGCTGTGCAGACATAAGGAGCAATTCTTCCTGTGAAGCATTGCTAATCTAAGTGGACAAGAAGCCAAAAGAGTGTAGTCTAGTTACTTCACAGGTCAATGGCGAAATACCTTATAGACTCCACACTTCCTATGTTAAAGCATGATAAAATAGTTGGGCGTTGTAGGCCAAGGAAATAAAAACAAAATGAACATTTTTAGGTGTTGTGAAAGTTTGGTTTATTCTTTTTTAAATATGTATTTTGGGTGTCACAGTCTTTATTAATAAAGGTGGGCACTGTATATAAGTATGAAAAAATTTCACTTATGAAAATATTTAAAGCAAGTGATCTGATACTGGCTGGTGATGCAGATCTGCAGCAAAGAAAAGATGTTTTGATATTTGAGTGTTACTTACCTTCTATCGACAATCTTGAAATTACAATTTATGTTTTGGAGGTCTTTGTTCCACACTCTACAGTTTAGCATTTGGATGATCTGAAGTCTGTTTGTGGTTTTTTGTTTGTTTGTGTTTTGGTTTTGTTGTTGTTTTAGTTTTGTATTTTTTTACATATACAACACATAAAATTTTGGGGGGCTGAAAGTAGATCTCCCTAGTACCTGGTTACCCATTTAAAAATTTCCTTCCACATTTTGCTTAAGGATTTCATTTAACAGAATCTTTGTACTCTGACAGCTTTTTTAACATATCTCGGAAGGGCTTGTTCAGCTGTAAGCAAAGATAATTAAAGGTATCTCCAGGCCTTAAAACTCTGATAGACGTTACAGCAGGACTGCTTTTCAAGCAAAATTTTCTTAAATAGCCTGCAGGTACCTTCCTTCAGTACCTCCTTCTCTTCTTGAAGATTCTTTTCATTTTTTTCAGTATTATTTTGTCACTGATGTGTCAACCAGATGCCTACAAAGCTTCTTTTACACTGCTTGCTTAGCTTTGTGTTTGCTTACGGAAAGAAGGTTGTGCTTAGGCTTGGATTTAATATACTTTTTGTTTGTCTCAATCAAGAAAAAGCCTAGTTTTCTTCTGAGTGGTGGGAAGGACTGTTTTGGCCCTGTCCGTGTTTCACAGGAAATGCAAAGTTTCTGTTTGATGACTTAGATTTTTTCCATTGAAACTCAGTATTGGTTGGTTGTAGTGAGGAGTCTGAAGACCTGTAATGATGACAAACCTTGTAAGAATGTGTATATCCCAAATATAGTTACTAATCTGGATTGTTGGTCCTGTTTTGGTTTTTGTTGGTGTGGCCTAAACAGTTTCCTGTGGAAGTATTTTGCATTCATAGTTATTAACTAGTAACTTTTCAGTGCACTGTTAATTTTCTGAAGCTATTAAGAAAGAAAACTACTTTTTGGTTTAACTTCAGGTCTGTTTCTGTTGAGTATAAGAATGTGGTTTAGACAGAATATAAATAAAGCCATATAAAAGTAAATTAGATTTTACTAGGCTTTTGGGAAGTGGTTGTTATTTTAACAGATTGTGAGAACAGCCATTTGTGGTCTTGATTTAAATCTTTTTTCCTACCAGTTTTAAAAGTTCTATTTCAGATCATGTGGAATAACTAAATGTGGTGATGACTTTCCCCCCAGAACTTCTTCAGAAAACATGCACCTAGTGAGACTGGCCCTCATGGAATAAGTGCAGAGGTAATGGACACATATATTAAGAGCTGTGGTAAGTAACACTTCTACAACTGATAACTTCGTATCTGAGGTATAAAGGATGGAGTAGATGAGGTATTAAGGCATATCAGTTTAGATGACTGCAGGTAGGGAACTATGTGTGTACTTGATGTCAGAATCCCTGTGAATAAGATAATTTTGAGCCTGGTGTGTCATATACAATTCCTCTCCTCATCCCCCTTTGTTCTCTTTAAAGGGGATTAGAAGTTAAATACTGTTTGCTTTCTAGAAATAATTTTACGTCTGCCCCCACCGCATCGTGAGTCGGGATATGTAGAATTCAGGGACATGCAAAGCATTTATACAATAATAAATCAACTTTATTCGAGGTAGAAAATTTTGTTTTTTAGAACATTGGGTGCTTTGGGGATGAAATTACATTTGACTTCTTATTCCATTTGGATGACAAGAAAAAGTGGTAATGTAGTTCTTGTTTGGTAAACTGATGGCAGTGTTAAAATGGCACATTTGCTGTCCATTAAATTAGAAGCAACTTCATTGTACGAAGAAATGTAATTCAGTTGTTGCTCCACAGTATCTTCTCCTTTCCACTTCTCTTTCTGATGATGCAGTCTTTAGAACTGCTTCAAACTCTTCTGGTTAGTGGATGAAAGAAAGAATTAAACCAGTTTGTGTTAGTTCCAATTTATTTGTCACTGTCTGGCTTACTGCTTAGCTTGTGAATACAGCTGACATATGTTTAGATTCATATCAATGTCTAATGCTTGTTTACAATTTTTTGTCTTAAAATATCTGAAGTTCAAGATGTGTGTATTCATTTTGCTCAAGAGACTTCCTCTTTCTTTGAAGTATCTTAATCTCAGTATTGAATGAATTTAGGCTTTTAGTGTTAGGATGTGATTGTGTAGTGAGAAACGATAATCTAAGAAGTACCAAATAAACTTCAGAGTTTTAATTTGTTACCTCAAATGTTCTTCATACTACTAGTAATCTTGATTATTCTTCACTAGCACCACCACTGCCCCCTATGGTATGTTTATGATTTATGAACAAGAACTAAGTTTGTCATATGCTGTTGTTAATTGTGTGGAACTTGTTGCTATCCAGGAAAGGTACTTATATTTGTATTTACAATTTACTTTTTACAGCTGGTTATTGTGTAATTACTTACATCCTTGGAGTTGGAGATAGACATCTGGATAATCTTTTGCTAACAAAAACAGGTAATTCTTCTTAGCAATGCAATTTTATAACAGCAGTTGTTTAAATTCTAACGTGTTGGTATTGTTTTGCTCCATTTTCCTTTAGAGTATAACTCAGAGTATTATAGACTAGAATATATTTGTAAATGTAAATTTATATTGTCTCATCTAAGGTAATATTTGATCCAGTGAACCAAAGTTTAGGTTTAAACTCCTAGTAGTGTCAAGTGGCAGGGAAAGAAGAAAACAAGTAGATTATTTGCTCTCTAATCACATTAGCAGGCAAGATACAATGACTATCTGATACATAGTTTTGATGTCAGTTTAAGAGCCATTTCTACAACCTGTGGTAATGGAAGTCTAAATTTACCTGAACGTGGACAATGTTATAAACACAGAGGTTTTTATGTTTTTCAGTTGGTTTACTTTACAGTCCTGTGTTCTATCGTCTTCTCTTTTACACTGAAAGATGGACCTGTAAGTTGTTTTATTAAACAGATGAATTTTCTTGAGTGATACTACCTTTTCTGAAAGTGGTATAGACGTAGTACATAGTAAAATTTGACTGTCTTTACCTAAGCCCAAGAAACATTCCGCTGTTATCTTAAACTTGGCTAAAATGATAATTACTTTTTTCAGAACTCTTGGTCCAAAGCTGAAAAAAAGGATGCATTAAAAAAATACTTGTAAAGTAGCTCCAACTCCAAGTATCCTAACTGTTTATTATCAAATCATTTCATTTTTTTATTAAATTGTTACATTCCTGTTTAGTAGCTTTTTTAACATGCTATCAGAAAGCAAATTCAAGATCTACTAATTGAATGACAGTTGTATTTTAATAGTTGTCTAATAATTCTGCGTATTTTAATGTATGCTATTCCAATTACAGTAGATATTTAGGAGAATATTGTCAGTAGTCATACGGAATTAGGTGTAATGTTGATGACTTCACCGAGATGTCCATGCGAATTCTTGTCTTAGAGTTGACTTTCTTTTAAACAACATGGTTCTGTGAGCTTTCTAGGTCTGTATATTCTTCTAAGAAATTTACACGATCTGTCCCAGAAATGGGAATGTCATGTAAGACCTGCAAGAGCAGGATTCACTGCAGTGTTTTCTGTTCCCTGTGAATCTTACATTCTTAATGAAACCAAACTACCGCAGAGCAAAAATCCACAGTGTTTCATCATTAGCTTGACTGAGCTACCTGGACCATTCAGTGCCAGTTCAGATTATGTATACATACATATTTTTTAAGCCTTCCCTATAAACAAAGAATGATGTAGATTCTTTAGTGTCCTACTCATTACAAACTGGCAGCCGGAGGAGAGAAAGTAGCAGAAGGTACTGTTTAATTCAATATACCCTTTAGTTTGCAGCAAAAACTGTGTATCTTAAAAGTTCAAAATAGGGAATAGGCATTTTGATTCTCCCTAACTTCACTTTTTTAATGTTATTTTCTATTGTCTTACATATGGATTAATAACAGACCAGGTAGAGTCAATAATTCTGGTGATTCTAAATAAGTAGAAGATCTCTCTACTAAAGGAAATAAAAGGCTTGAAAATTCAGCTGCTCCAACTATTACATTCAGTGCCTTGGGGTGGAGGGAAATTCAGATGTTTTAGTTGAAAAATGAGTTCGTGAGTAGCTACACGAATTTCGCAGAACTGCAGTTCTGCTGTAGGAGTTCTGATGCCTTGAATATGTCTGTTACATAGTGATGGCGAATTAGGAGCTGTGGTTAAGTGCTTGTAGTAAAGTGAAATATTTATTGAATGAGAAACTTATAAATTAAAATATTATTTGGAGAAAGAGACACATGCATGTGGAAGGTTTGTTAGTTTACAGGTAAGGCTGAAGCATGTATTACTTTGTATCAGTATACTTTGTATGAAAGAGCTGAAAATTAACCTTTGGCCCTTGGTTAGAGTAAAAGGTCTTGCACAGGGGGGAGCAACTAGAGCAAGTGTATTTTTCCGTATCTGCTTGGAAATGTACAAATGGGCATTTAAACTGTTGTGAGGGGTCTGTCATTTGTCTAAGGTGATGGCTATAAATATTTGCATAGCAGGCACTGCTTGCATGCTCAGAGTAGTAACACTTTAGTGTTCTGATTTGGGGTAAAGTGCATCTTGCCTGCCTGTATTAAAAAGTAACAGCACAATAGCAGTTTGGCTTAGTGGAAGAATTTAAGCAGCACAGCAGAGGGCAGTGTGCATCCATGGTACATTCAGAGTCTGAAATTGTTTTCATCTGCTGCCTGTCCTCTGTCACATACTGAAAGGTTTTTTGAGCTATCAAGAGAAATTCTTATGTTCCGAATACAACAAAGGCTTGCTATGAAGGCTTGTTTCTTGCTACTGAGAATCCCTTAGGCCTAAGTTGGAAAAAGCTAACTTCATTCTTCTGCTGAAGAATGGAAGCTATAAATACCTTTCTTAAAAATTATGAGGCAGTAAATGTGTCCTTACTTGATGATACTTATTTAAGGAGTTGAAGCTTTCCAAGAGGGTAAAGAATGCTGAGTACCAGCTGTGGGTTCCCGTACTTCCTATATGGCAATATATGTCTTTACCTTTTTCAGCTCTGCCTTTTAGTTTGGATGTAGCCACATCTGTGTTGGACACATTCTAGTAGAATTGTCGCGTCATCTCCTAACATACAGATGTCTATGCTTATGATAGATAGGGTATAATTTACATATTATGCAGTAGGTACTGAAGTTCATAAAACCAAATTGTTTTTCACTCAGTGTTAGAAACCTGCTGGGTTTTTTTTGCGCTGTAGGATGAGAATGTCTGTTACTGGGTGAAATAATTTCTGCTGTCTTTCATGAGTGTTTTATGCCTTTAATTCTAGAAGTAAGATGGCTTTTTTAAGTAGTCCTAGACATGAAATCTGTATTTTCAGATTTTTAAATGCTGTACCATTATACTTCAAGAGAAGCTGTAGAAGTTTGTTTGGAAAGAGATGTAGGGAAACTTCAGTCAAAACATTCTTATTTATTAACAGTGTTAAAAATTACAAGAATACTTGCATTGTTTTTACAAATGTGCCTGAGCTTGTAACCTGAAGGCCACGTAGTCAGTATTGTGATACAGGAATATTTATTTTCTCTGAGAACTTTCAACTTCCTACTTCTCCTGGAGATTGACTATGTTATCTATTGCTGTATGTTTTAATTTTTTGTTTCCAGGTCTAGAACAGCAGATGCTACTGTGACTTGTAAATAATAAGACACTCTTTTGCAGTGGAATACTCAACTTTAATGTCAGTGTCTGGTTGTAGGATTGCAGACTGATTTACATATTAATGCCAGTGTCTGACTTAGCAGCGAATGTGTGCTTTGTTGCCTTGGAAGGAAGAGCTGGGTGGTTGTGAAGCTGGATTGTGATAAGAGATGTAGCATGTTCAGTTAACTTTCATGTTGTATGTACTGTGCTAGTGTGTTTCAGTTGTGACATGCCTTCCCTTGAAAATACTTTCTTCTGGGTTTGTTCCACTCTCTGTTTTTGATGGTAGAGTTGGGATCTAGCTACTGATGTAACATCCAGCCGTGGATGTTACATGTTTGCTAAGCCTTTTAAAGTCTTAAAACAGTACAGTCATCATTAGACCTTAGACAGCATTTCAGCTATGATAGACAAGTGATGTCTTTCTGTCCCATTTGAGATACCTTAATAACTTCAATTTGTTTTATCAACAGACAAAGATTTCACAAAGGTGCTGTCATATTTGCAGGCTATGTGTAGATATTTCGGCATATTCTAAGACATTCAAATGGTGTTCTTGGGTAGTATGGCCTGTGTGTGTCTCACCAACTAAACTCTTGCCCTAGTGACTGACCAGCTTAATCTTTCAATAACCGTTGGGGACCTACATGTAAGCTCAAGTTCCCATTATAGGTTCCCCAAATACAGGCACTTTGGTCTGAACTCCACACCTGAAATTGCTCTGTAGCAGTAGGGCAACTTGCTGTGTGGGTAAAATTGGGTTGTTAATATCTAAGGGCAGGTGAAAGACTTGAGAAATTGAAAACCACATTTTCTTTTAGCATCACGTATAGGTAAGTGGAAAGAGCTGGACTGTCTTATTTAATGCTGAGAGGTCAGGCTGTCTTCAGTGTGAACACACCAGTTGACATCCAAGTTGTTCTTCAGTCTCAGTTAGGAAGGGTTGCCAGGTAAGACAGCAAAGATCCGAACAGTCTCATGTACAAGACGACACCCTGTGTTTGTACTTCCAGTGCTTTTCAGTTAAAACCGTCTATCCCAAAGCAAGTTTGAAGATGACAAAAGCTGAAAACCTATAGGATACAAGCCCTCCTTCTGTATCAGTGCTCATATAAATACATTGATAAATATATTTATTAATGTTGCAAACTACTACAGTGTATAAAATACAGTGGAATTTTTACATGTTTTTGGATATCATTGGTCCTGGTAGAGGAACATCCTTTTCTAAAAACAATAACAAAACTAACACATACTGCTATCCTTTAGATTTCTCTTTGCAACTCCCGTTTCTGTGATGCCTACCAAAGAGAATATAAACTTATAGCTGTTGGTCTGGTAAAACATTTTTTCTTTGAGGTGTCTTGAACATTATTTCTCATTTAACAATATGTATCTGACATCTTTTGCACTATGCCTGCATGGAGTGTATTTTGAGAATGAATTGCTTGAGTTGTGAGGGGTGAAAATTGCAATGCTTAGCACAGCCTGGTGCCTTATCAGTTATATGGATGACAGTGATAAACTTTGCCTCCAGCTGTTGTTGCATACTGGATTTAAAGTCTGTATCCTGAATAAGTCCTTAAAAATTCATACCACTTTCTTCCATTTTTATGTAGTCTTACAAAAGTCATAATGTGTATCTGATGAAAATGATGACATTAAATTAGGCATTCCGGTTGTTTGTATTGTGACAGTGCTCTGTTTACAAAGGAGAAATTTTGACGGTAGTGTCAGAATTTGCTGGGAATGCAAGGAGACAGAATCACAGAATCACAGAATGGT